CCTCCTGCTAGCTGTTGTGAATTGTTTTGGTTCAAACAGTGTTACCTTTAATGTGATAGATTCCTCAGGTATTATAACCATCTCATCCTACACAGCTCACAGGAACAAGTGCCACTGAGAACGTTTAAATTGTAGCTGAGTTATGATGCAAAGCTTTACTTGTTTAGAAACCATGACTTTTTTAAACCTTTAAACTGGAATCTGCCCTGAGGCCTCATAGAAACGTGGTTCTGTCTCTAACGATTGGAAACACCCTTTCTGGTCAGAGTTTCTCAAATCACTTCTGATTTGTCCTGACCCTTGTTTTGGTCGTGATTACGTCAATCTCTATAACCACTAACTACGTTTAGACGAAGCGGCAGAGCAGTGGAAGTGTTTATCTTAAACTACTTGCCTTCGTGGCTGTGAGTCAAATGTGGAGAGAGACATTGGGTGTAGCGGAGGCCTTCATTAAATGCAGCTCAGGCCCTGGTGAAGCCCTGGTTAATGTCCCTATCATCTCTGGAGTGGGCCTGCGCCTGGCTCTGTGTCCAGATGATTCATGTTTAATGCATCTCTGCAGTCCTTGTCATTTAACCTCACCTCTGGAGGTTGCGGGTCGGGGTGGGTTAGCAAAAAGCTCCCACAAGGCCTGCGAGGGGCAGAGCGGCCATGCAGTTATTCTTCACCTGCTCTCCATTTGCTTAACATGGGGACGGCTGCTCCATGTTTGGCCTGTTGCCGCTCAATCTCCCCACAGCAAACCCTCCGCATCACACCGCGTGAACCTGAGCTCCAGGGTGGTCCGGGTTGAATCGGTGGCTCTCTCTGAAGCACTTTGTTACTTCGCTCTCTGTGTACTATGCTTGAATGCTTAAGCAGGAGACTACTGATGCGTTGCAGTGAGACTTAGCAGTTTACTCTTCTGGTGAGTGCTGGAGCTTTGGTAAGAGCTTTTCTGGTGAAACTGAAGGCTGTCAAACTCAATCAAGATTTTGTCGAGCAGAATAAGCGCCGCGTTAGAGCCGGGAAGTCGAGGGATTTCACCAGACTGAATTCAGGATGCGTGGATTGAAATTTCTGCCACTTATTAAACACAAAGCGGGTAGAGGATTAATCATCTAAAGGCATAAAAAGGCAAGTAAGTTTGCAGATGAACAAGTCAGGAGAAGGATGTGACTTGGGAACATATTTGTCCTCAAACCGACTAAGTAACCAGAGGTAACACAAAACACAGTTTCCAATTGATTACAGTGGACCCACGCCTAATTGTGGATCAATAATTATGAATTTTTCCTCCAAATTATTTGTGGAAAACACTCCAATTCTCTGATTTTTCTTGGACCATATCTAAAATAATCTAAAGAGAATGCAGCTTGGGAAGTTAAAAAACCTTAGCACAATGCTATTTCATGCTATAAACTGTGAAGCAGCCAATCCAGGAGCACCATTTAATTTCCTTGCCACTGATTGGCTGTAACCCCAAGAGCAAAAATAAAGAAGACTGTAGATTTTAGCTTGTCTGGTCCTGCCAAGACGATGTGTCTTTATTCATATTAAGGTCAGAGTTTCCCCCAGTGTGTTGTGACAGCTGTAACAGGATGCACAACTTGCAACGTTTTCTGGTAAATGTGAGTCGGGTCTTTGTGTTCTGTTGGGTCAGCAGCGGTTCTGGCCTTGGAACTCTGCCAGGAGACCATTTTCGCCCAGTCTTTCTTTCTTTTTGTCAATGAGTGACCTCTGTCCTTTGCTGAGGCAGTGAGGCCTGCAGAGCTTTAGATGTTCTGGATCTCCTGGATGAGACTTTGATGAGATCTTGGAGTAGTTCTGGTGGGTCGGCCTCTGGAAGGTTCTCCATGGTTCCATGTGTGGATAAAGTTCTAAGTGGGTTTTTGGAGTCCAAAAGCCTTAGAGATGGTTCTGTAACTCTTTCCACACTGAAGGATGTTAGAGACTGTTTCTCATCTGTTACTGAATTTGTATAAATTAGGACATGATATGTTGCTTTTTGAGAGATTGGGTCAAGGTCAGATCAGGGTTAGATCAAGATTAAATCAGGGTTGGATCAAGATTAAATCAGGGTTGGGTTGGGGTTAAATCAGGGTTGGATCCAGATTAAATCAGGGTTGGATCAAGATTAGATCAGGATTAAATCAGGGTTGGGTTGGGGTTAAATCAGGGTTGGGTTGGGGTTAAATTAGGGTTGGATCGGGGTAACATTGGATCAGGACAGCTTGTCTGGGTGTTGGCAGTGAAGCTGTGTTTTTAAGCTAAGGTAAATAATGGTTGTAATTATTTTTCCACATATACTCATTCTGGTCTCTAACTATTCATCTAATGAATTCATCATTTGAAAACTGCTTTGTATTTGCTCAGTTTATCTTTATTAAAATCTATTTGATTATCTGAAACATTTCTAAGGGGCTTGATAGTTTTTCACACCACTGTAAAATAATTTATCCTCATTATTTCATTTAATTTTCTTGCTTCTTTCTCATCCCTCATTTTTCTTCAAAGGCAGCCTTCCTTTCCCTCCTCCTCTCCATCACTCCTACTCAGTCTCTGAATCCCTTTCTTGCTTCGGATAATGGTAATTAGAATATCACCATGATTGAAATTTGGCAAAACTTGAAGAGGAAATAGGTTTTCTAATCAAAAGCTGCCTCTTAGCTGGAATCCTGATGCTTCCTTGGCTGAAGACTGTTGCTCTATGATGAGGGCCTAAATGGCTGCCAGACTGTACCAAAGGCCAACTCCCTCTCTCCCTCTCTGTTGCTTGCCCATGTTGGACCGACGCCTCGACTCAGGATGATTTCGCCGATGCTTTCTGCTTCTGTCATTTATTAATTCTCAGGCTTTAGATTTTTTGCTGTCAAAGATCTTATTTTATTGCTTTTAAATGAAGATTTTAATACTCTACATCATAAAATTTGTCAGTTGTTTCCGCATTTAAAGATATTTGAATAAATATAGATTTTTATAGTTATTTTATTATGCTTTACTTAAGGTAGGTTTATATATTAGGTCAGAGGTTCCCAAACTGTGGGGCGCGCCCCTTAGAGGGGGCGCCGTGTCATTGCAGGGGGGGCGCGGGAAGCCGTCTGGATGAAAAAGAAAAAAAAAAAAAAACATGAACACTGTATGCGCTGGGTTTTTACCTTAGAATGGCCAACTCTCTGTTATTCCTCTGTCAATTTGATACAGGAGATGCTTCCACATTTCCCATATTTGTGTCCTCTGTCACTTTTATCAGCAGTTAAAACTGTTTAATCCGTTGTTAACATGTAAACTGTTTTTCCGAGCCGCCTTTAAACGCAACATGAGCGCTACGACGCTCGCGCTGGGTTTCCACCTGTGAAGGAGACCTGCTGCTGCTGTGCGGAGCTACGTAGGTTTGTGTTAGAATCACGGCAGCAAACCAGCAAAACGCAAAGAACTTTTCACAGTTTTTCCCTCCAACGACTGAGTTGAGTAAAGCTGTTGGATGCAGGTAATGTTAGCTAAAAGATGAGTAGCTAATAACAATACAGAACCTTAAGCTTAACAAGTACCTTGTAGGCTACCGATGTTGGTGTCTATTTTCAGCTACGTACATTCATTTTGCCCCCAAAAAAGTCGATGCCCCCCCCATCACACGCGTCGTTTCAACTAGACAGCCATTTGTAATCCATAGGGGGGGCGCAGAAAATGTTTGGAACCCCCTGGGGGGGCGCAGAAGAAAAAGTTTGGGAACCACTGGATTAGGTTTATATATAAATCTGATTTAATCTTATTCAATAAACAAAATTTTAAATCATTTTAAAATTCATGCATTATGCTATGGTCAAACTGGTTGAAACTGGCTGACGTCATGATTTTAAATAAATATTGAGCATGAAAGAAAACATTTTTAAATTTGTTTATAAAATAAACAATATTTTGTTGTTTTTGTTTAAGATTTTATTTTATGATATAGTTTTATACATTCTATGCGAATATTTACAAAATCACAAAATGGGTCAAATTTTAACAAGTAGATGACATTAAAAAATAATAAAAATATATCTAAAACAAATTAGGTTACCTAACAACCATCGGATTAAGTAACTAAATAATACCATTTGCGGAATTAAAAAAAAAAAAAATCTGTTGAGAAAAAAAAATCACAAATATTCTTTACTTATCAGCTGAATTGTAATTTGCATTACATTTTGTCAAACTATATTAAAAAATGACCTGAAAAGTATTTCAGAAAATCTGTTAAATTGGATTTAATCTGTAAACTGAACAATTTGAGATTTTCCTCTACTGTGAACATTAGATTTTTATTTTTTTTTTTCCTTTTCCTCATATTTGTGCAGAAACGTAACAGAAAAACATGATTCTTTGTTACGTTAAAACATTTAAACACTGCTGAATATCAGACGGCCGTCTGATTAAAACCACTTAAAGCCGCCCAGGAGCTGAGAAACGATCCTGTTTGTGAGAGGAGGTGTGTGTTGCAGATTTCTCCGGCTCGGAACGAGGACTTCCTGGAGTTGTTGCCTAGCAGCAGAACATTTAAACTTTTAGTGGGACTTGGTGGAAATGCGCTGTTTCAGTTTAATGGAGCTGCATTCATGTTTAAGCCCCCAAACTATGAATGAAAGCTATTAGCTAAAATGATGACTGAAGTAACGACTTAATTGAGCCTCGTCTGGCTGTAAAAGGCTCGTTTCCTGGTAAAATGCTGCAGGAGTTTTAGCTGGTTGCTCTGTTTCCACCTGCGATTAGCGACTTCTCAGAATGATGCTGAATGTAGATGTTTGTCTTTTGAAGCTGAAGTGTTATTTTTGTTTCCAGCAACTCCCTGATATTATTTTAAAGTTTCTTCTCTAAGAGGGAATCAACCCATTTCCTGTTTCTCGAGTTCTTTCCCAGCATGCTCCACTGTGTTTGTGTAAATCAACCTTAAGCAGGTGTTTCAGTTCTAATCTCCCTTTTTGTTCTGTGTTTCTCCCCCTCCCCAACCTGTTTCCACCTGCCTGACCCTTCCACCTCAGGAGCTGCGCAGGAACCAGGTAAGCCCTTCCTGCATGTTCTCCTTTCCTCCTTTCCTCGCCACAGCTTCCTGCTTTCCAGCTTTTCTCCTTCACGCGTTTAATTCAGGCTTCCTGTCGCCTTCTGGTGTGGGAGACCAAAAGTGTCAAAAAACAAGAAAAATCCAATCAAAACATAATAAATAGAAATAATTGCAAGGTGTTAATCCTTAAAATTTAGTTATTAAAGCTGTTACTCTTTTAACTTCAGCCGTATAGAGATATGATAACAGTTTCCATCTGACAGAACAAGGGGTCTGTCATCTACGGAGTTCAATTGAAGGCATAAAATTTGAGTTTGAGTTTAAAAATTTTTTTAAACAAAAAAATGATTTGAAATTGAAAATAAAGATCAATTTTCAGATTCAGGTTTTTTTCAGTTTCAAACATCTTGGCTCTCTAGGTGTGTGGGAGGGGCCTCATACATCAGGGGGCGGAGCCTCATATGACGGCGCGCTGAATCATGAAAGTTCAAAACAGCAGCTGGACTCAATATTTTCAGGAGCCGTGGGAACTGGAAATGTTTCTATAACATCACAGATTTTCTAATTTTATGTGATTTTGAAAAATAATATGCTTCACTGATATTAGCTGCTTATGTTGACACGCATCACAAATTTGTGACAAAATGATCTTGACAAAGTCTCCACATCGCCATATCTTCAGTCTGACACTTTACAGATTCGACCAAGTCAGACGTTAATAACTATCGAAGCTTTGTTCTCATTAAAACAACTTTTTTACAACTTTATTCTACTAATATTATGCCCTTTTCCTCGTAAATTTAAACAAAATAAAGTTTAGTCTGCCCCTAATACTTGTAAAGGTGTAATGTATCTATTTTATTTAAATAAATTTATCTGAAATCTGAAACAAAATTTCTAAAGAGGAGATCAAACTGCTGCGATGGTCCAGTCAAAGTCTAGACAATTCAACATAATTGAAATGCCATAGCAGAACCTTCCCAGAGCTGTTTCTTTGTAGAATATTGGATAAAAATGCAGCGGCAAATGTGCAAAATTAAATAGATTGCCTGGTATAAAAACTACATTATTTTAGTCCTCTTGAAAGAAACCAAACTGTTTATGGAAGAATACACACTGTCCAAGAACACCATTTCAGCTTTAATTTAAGCCACAATAAATAAGAGCGCTAAAAACTTTTTTTTTTCACAAACCAGGCCTGTAGCTGACCTCCGCCGTTCGTCCGCCAATCAGAAGCCTCGCAGCCAGTCTCTGGCCCTTCTGTCCTCAACATGGAAACCAAATCCGTGCCCAGTTTCTGTCCCCACAACCGGTGAACTCCTTTCATGTTTCGGTGGCGTTTTTAAAAGAAACTTCTAATTTGGAGGCTGTAATAAGCCGTCTCATCAGCGTTCAGGTTGATCTCAGATCTCTGGTTCTGCTGACTGAACCGTCGGCGGAGCCAAATGAGCGCGGCAGCAGCCAAATCTGACTCGCTTAGCCTTTTGAACTCTTCGCCAACGGCTGCAGTTCTTCAGAGGGAGTAGAGAAAGTAACGACGGCGCTGCCAGCAAACTGCCTTCAAGGTTTGAACCACCCGCTTTAAACGCGTTGATGAATTTTGGACTTTAGATTAATTAGCAAAGCCATTTTTAGTAGAGTCAGGAAGTCATTAATGTTTATGGTTAATCCTGAGATATTTAGTCCCTGAAGTCACTTTAACATGTTTTGTGTAGTTAATTAGGAGTCAATTAGAGAAATCAATTGATGCTCCAGATGGTTTATTTTGGCTTAGAGGGATGCTGAAACTTTTAGGTGATGGTGTTGGTTCATAATAGCGTTCATTAAAAGTTCCACAATGATTAGGTAAAGTATGAAAAAAAGGTGGAAATATCTTAGAAATGTAAGAGAAGTTTTGTGATAGAGGGAACGCACAGGGAGCACATCCATCTTGAACAATCTTTAGTCCTTGTTAATCTTTGTTTCTCCATGTCAGTGGTGCTCCTACAATGAAAAACACAACATTTTCTAAAAGACTACATGTTGGATGCACCAATAGAAGATTTTTGGCCAATATCTATATCCAATTTTATGGCTGATAACCAATATTTACTGATATTTGTATTTCCACGCAACACGATGGAGATAAACAATGATTGTTCATGCAGACTGACCCTCGTTGTTGTGGATTTCACTGTGGAACGAAACTCTAAATTATTTCCAGAAAATCACCAATTTTTTATTTACAATATTGAAAACAAGGTGCATCTTGGGAAGCTGGAATGAAAAGGCTTCGTGGCTGTTTGATTTTATCTGAAATCTGATGGTGTGTGTGACTTCCATCCATCATTCTGACAACTTCATTATTTTTACAAATAACTTTATTTAGAACAAAAAACATTCTGGAACAAAATAAAACAGGGACATAGATACAATATCTAAGGACATTATAGAACATGTACATTTTGTTCAAATTAAACTAGGCCTTGAGGGTTGTACTCTTTAAGGGCAGATGTAATCTGAATTGAAGTTAGCGCTTTAGCATTAGCTTCTCTTAGCTGTGGTGTTGGAATAGTAGAACTAACTTTTTATCTACTTTTTATCCCACTAATAATATAATATACTAAACGTATAACACAAAGGGTATTTATGGGACAGTTGTTAGGAGGAAAACTCTAACGGTCGCCTGTGCAAATTAGAGTAAAGATGCTGGTCAGAACAGGAGCAGATGTTACTTCTACTGGAATTTGACTTCCCATCATTCTTTCTTCTCACCAGCCCAATCCTGATGAATATAAATGTTTTAAACATCAGCTCAAGCTGCAGATTTCTCTATAGCTTCTTGGGCGGATTGTTCTGCTCTGATCTGCTCTTCGGCCAGCTTCTGAAGCGCCCTTGGTTGCTATGCGTTCAGTCCTTTTATGGAAGCCTAACCTATAATTTTCATCAGGTGTAATCCTGAAATTAATTAGTCGTAAAGGTGATATTATATATGCCCTTTAAGTAGCTACTGAGGGAACTGATAGCAGAGCAGCGTAACAATAGAAAACTGGATTTTGCCCTATAGTGCCCTACAGCTAATAAAAGCTTGCTGCAGCCACATTGATTAGCAAAAAAAAAGAAAAAGAAAAAGAAGAGATAGTATTTGAAAATGGTCTTCTGCCGAGCTGAAAGGTAACATTTTTTGAAAAGACCTCAAGGCTAAAAAATATTTTGTGTAGTCAAAGGTCCCGTTGTTTGGTTTCTGCAGAAAAGGGTTCTTTCTTTCTGCACGGGCGCCTCACGTGTCGGTTCTGGGTGCCAATCAATAGGACTGGGGGGCCGGGGGGGGGGGACGAGGTGGGCCGAGCGCTGCCACGGTTAAACACAAGGAGCCTTATCCACGTGTGGACAGACGGGCTCTTTAAACACACGCCGGCACGCATGCATGCATGTGCGCGCAGCCTCACACGCGCTGTACGCTGAGCACAGCTCAGATAAGTGACTGAATCAATCACGCGCATACAGTGTTTGCTTGTCAGCCTGTATGCTTTCCCTTTTATAACATGGGTTCAATTTCCCAAGCTACTGGAGCCCTATCGGTGTTTTTCCAAGAGATATATTCAGCAAGGTCATCTCTCACTGCAACAAGAAGCAGTGCAGCCGCAGAGATGTGTTTTTGCTATTGAAATGTCAATATTCACTCTAGTCTGTCGCATTATAATCTACATTTATCAATAGAAAGGCAGCTTAGAACACGACTCCTCCTTCCGACTGCTGTCCACTGATTTATTCGGGTAATAGCAGCATGAGAGAGGCGGATCCTGTTAAACTTCTCCAACCTCGATTCCATCATTATTTCAGATTTTATTTTAAATTTTGAGCATTCCTTTAAAATCTAGTGAAATGTTAATATTTTCGCAAAGCCAAAGAGTTTGACAGTGTTAAGGGAGCTGGAAGCAGGTCAGCATAATTAATAAAGTGTAAGTCAAGTGGATGCTATAAAAAAGTTATGATTGGAATAAAATTTAACAGGGAGCAGAGGGGTTTTATGCACAGCTCATGTTCGAGAACTTTTTACGTTCTCAATTTACTAAGAATAAACTAATAAAAAGACTTGCGCATCAAGTGCTCTGAAAAAGTAGATTTCTGAAGTTTTTAGTTTTTGTCACTTTTTTATGTTTCAGATCATTTAACTATATTTTATTTTTTTAATAAGTACAAAAAAAGCACTTTTCAAAAGGTGATTTCAGAAATTAAGGGACAAAAATATTAAAACAATCCTCACCCTGTGTAAAAAAATAATTGCATCCCAAACATAATAAGGTTATTCTAGCCTTAATAGCCTGAAGTTATCATAAAAGTGTTCATGATAACTTGTAGACAAATATAATCCTACATCAGTTCATCTGTTTTCTTGAGGGAGGTCTTCCTGTTAAAGGGGAGTTTTTCCTCTCCACTGTCGCTACATGCATTCTTGGTATGAAGGATTGCTGTAAAATCAAGCGACTGTCGCCCCCTGCTGGTCCAGGAGGAGTGAGTGCTGCAGGTTAGCAATGGAATCTGCTGGGTTTCCTTAGATGGAAATATTTCAAACTACTTTTAATAATTAATACAGCTTACTGTGCTGTTTGATATCTAGGACGATTTTTTTGTAAAATGCCTCCAGATAACATTTGTTGTGAATTGGCACGATATAGACACATTACATGTTATTGTTTACATCCAGAAATTTTGTGCATGCTCACAATGCTGGAGGGCAAAAAGACCATTGTTTTCCTTGCCATTTTTGTTAACTGAACCAAAATGCAACGGATTACGCAGGACATCTGTATGTTAAAGGTTGTCAAAGTCAAACGAGCATAACTGAGCTACTTCCTTCTCCCTCGCTATTTCTTCTTTTTCATTAAAACGTTTTCCTGACCTCGTTCTGTAGTAGTCATAGAGTTGACAATTAGTAGCAAAGCACTGCGTCCCGTTTTCTTTTATATATATCACACGTACATTTAAGATTTAACACTTTATGTTGGTCACTTAGATAAATGCTAGTCATTGGCGGCGGGCAGCTTTTGGCCAAAAGCAGGAAGCTGCAGATGGTATCTTACCATCATCCACACCCTGAACGTTCCCTCCATCCCTCAGTAACGGTTGGTGTAAAAACCTCCACCTGTACAAATGTTTCTGAGCCAAACTTCCCTTCTTGACGATGGTCAGCAGCAGAGAAACAGCAGCCAGACCTGCTGATAGGCAGAAGAACCAACGAAGCCGCCGCGGTTTGGCTTCTCTGCTGCACCAAACTCTGCCTCTCCGGCTGTTTCTATCAATAGTATTAGGTATTAATAACAGATAAAAAATGCATGCAGCTACTGCACAGAGAAATATTGCAGATTTGTGCCTTTTTTAACTGAATCTGAAGGCCAGTCTGTGTTCTCAGGATCTGCTGGATCCTGCACCAGTTTTAGGCTTCGATCTGTCTGCCTGCTCAGATTCCCCTCAGTACAAGGAGCCAAAACTTCAAGCTGTCAACATGTTTGATTCAGGGCTGCCTGCACAATTATGTGGCAATTTCCTGCGACGAGGTTAATTTGATATTTGTGCCTTTGTAATGATTAATTAGTATGGAGCAAATCAGAGAAATCCCCCCAACCCGTCCTACAGACTAACATCCGTCTTGTTTCCTCAACTCTTAAAGCTCTGCTGTTTGTTGCACCACTGGTAGAAAATATGTCTGAATAACTAATGTTTCTGTTATCAATTATATCCAGATATGGATTACTTTTTAAACCCCAGCCTATTCCATCAGGTCTTATTTCTACCTGCAGGCTGTGAAATTTAATAAACGCACTTTGACAGGCGCCTCCTAGTGTCCAAACAGCGTCACAACAGTTTAATTTGTATGTAGTTTGTATTTTTTTCTGTGGAAAAAGTCTGTCAGTTCCTCCATTTTGGGCAAAATGAAAAGCAAAGTAATTCCAACAACAACATTTTTCATTTGATTCTAACTAGAGTCTTTTTGCTAATTTATTGTTTTACTGCTGAACAGTGAACCAAACAGAACGATCACGAACGATCCGATTCGTTTGATCGGTTCTGTAACCCAAATGATGGGATTCCAGTCTGTTTGTTAAAGTTGTTCTTTGTTTTTATAAACTTTGTTTAAAGTCAATGCTGTGCATGACTTTAATCATTCAGTTTTTGGTAGAAAGAGGTAAAAAAGGAAAATGATAAAATATTCTCATGGAAATTATTGAGTTTGTCTTAATCTATCATGCGATTAACTGATTTATTGCTTATTACCACAGGCCTATGCAAGTGAGCTATTTTCCACAAATGGCACTTTTGTTTCTACAACAAAAATGGCACAAAACTGTCTTTAATTTGCACAACTTTTGTAAAAAAAAATACTACATGAGTATTTGATGTTTACATCTTAAAATTGTATATATATTATGAAAATATGTACTTGTTTTTGCAAGATCAGATGGCGGCGATTCAACTTTTTTTTAACAACTATTTTTAACAATTAACATAAAACTGTTATTTTAAGGCTAAAATGGTTTGTTCTTAGAAAAATATAAATTTTCATAGTGAACTGGAGCTGGTTTAACCATAGAGAGAAACCAAAAGCAACACGAGGTTTGTGCTAATGTCCAAACCAAATGTTCAGTGTAATTTTTTAACAACATTTCAGCGGAAAGGTGTTTTTGCTGGTCCATTCTTGCCATGTTAGATTTCGGTTACCAGAGTTTTTTCTTGTATTTCCTCGCTGCTCCAGCTGAGGGTGAAGGAAAACTTGCAGAGCTAAAGTCTTTCTTCAGAAGGAAAATCGTCTGTCCTCAGCTGTTTGTCGCCTGTCGCGGCCCCTGAAGAGTAAATCTGCTTCGAGTGTCAGGGTTGACGGTGAAACGCCGCCGCGCTGCTGCCGCCTGACTCGACACAATATCCAGATGACTGGCTGCACATTTTAGACACAGTCGCTCCACAGAACCACCCACACTGGCAACGTGAAGCTGGATCCACTGCAC